TTATTTTCGACGTTTTTATTCTATTTTCATAATAAAACAAGGAAAAGATTTTTTTGCTAGTGTGGCAATGTGTTAAAAACAAATTCTATCCCAAATCCTGTAAATGTTTCCCTTTAGATGTCATTAGAGATTGTAAATAATTACTAACTATAATATCAGCAGGGTGTCAATTTCTCCCTACTCACCAAAATGTCCTAAAGAGTACAAAACCGTTTTAAGGGTTTTTATTATTTAAAGGGAACAGAGCCTTCAAACAGAAATGCACTCTTAATGTTTCCTTTAAAAATTCTGCTGTTAAATAACATGAAACTTCAAGCATTAGAGGTTAAAAATAAATTTAAGTTAGCACTGGTCAAATATACTTCATTTTACAGAAAACAAGTATAAATTTTAGCGAAAACTGTTTTTCCATTTCAATTCGACTCCATTCTCCTAAATCAAAAACAATAAAAATTCAGTAATTACCATAACTCTTCACTGATGACAGCTTTTGTCCTTACTCTATAGGTACAAGGATTTAAATAAAACATAGATGTATTATTGTTCTATTTTTGTGGAAGAACACATTGACAATTCATACAAAATAAAATGTCTTGTTTGATGGTCCAAAGAAAGTCAGTGACACAATATATTTGACAGTTCTCAATTACACTTTTGACTGTCTCTGAAACAAGCAATAGCAGCAGCAATAACAATACTTGGTACATAGTAGATACTCCAATGGTAGCTACTATTAGCAAGCCAAGGTTTTTAATTTTTTGTTTTCTTTTTTTTACAAGATTCATCATTAATTATCACAATTAAGAGGCAGATATTGTCCTCATTTTTCAGATGGGGAAACAGACTTAGTAAGGTTAATAAACTTGTTGAATGTCTACTCCAAATGTACTTTCTTTCACACTATAATAACAAACCACATGCCTTTTAATTGGGAAACAGAAAAATCTATTAGAAGATTAATTTATTTAACATCCAATCTCTATTTCAAGCTTCAACATTTTGGCTTTTAAAAAGCTGGTGGTTAAGATAAGAAAAGAATGTATGTACATTCATAGTAACCATTGCACCTTATAATCAGGTACAATGAAAGATCCTGTGCTATCTATTGCCATTATTGGAGCAGCTGCTGCATAATAGGTATGTAATATTTTAAAAAATGAAATGAAAGAATGGGGTGGGAAACACTGAAACATCTGAAGCCTCAACAGAAAAGCTGCAGAGAAACACAGAGCAGTCAATTCACAATGAAAAGTGTTGACAACATCAACGAAAACTAAACACTGAGAGATGGTGAAATGAAATATATTTTAATATGTCATGTGTTTAAAAATCTCCAATTTGTTAGCACTATAACAAAATTAATATTTACAACTAAGGATGACATCGGCCACCACTACCAGAAATCATTACTTTCTGCGCATTTTCATACGATTCTGCTGACTCTACAACCTCAAATGATATAGTTCGCAGAATCGTAGGGGATTTAGAATGCCTGAGAAGTGTATATATTCTGTATAGGAGAGCATTCTGTGAAAGACATCTTCTTAAAATTAATGATTTAATCTGACAGGCATGCACACAATTTAAAAAGCCAAATAGTTTTACAAGAAAAACAGCAGTCCCTTGTCCACACTCATTTTTTGAGTATCTTCGAGTCTTTTTAGCTATTTCTTTTGGCTTTTTTCACAATATTCTATATAGTGGGTCTATACAGCTGTTTCTTATTTTTTCCTTTTAGGAATCCCCTAACTTTCCATTATAAAAGCATAATGGTTTAGCTCTGTTAAATCTCTTCTGCTCCATCTATCATAATTTTTAGTGAATCAATTGTCAGTATTTACATTATTACTACGGCTGTAAATAATACAGCTGAGCCAAAAGCACATCAGGATTACTCTTCTTTTTTTATATAACTTTGCTTTCCTTATAGATAATAACTGTACCATTTTTCCATTTGCTTCGTTTTCTATGTACCTATTGCTAACTCATCTGCGAACTCTGCCAAAAGTCTAATTTTCTTCTCGATATATTCAAGTACATCAGGTAAATCTGCTTTAATTGCTTTCTTAAAGGACATACTTCCTGTAGTGGTCCATCATGTTCCAATTTGGACTGTAGGCTCTCTATGCGTGGTGCACAATTATGGTCACGGAATTTCCCTTTAACTTATCCTGGGAATTCCCTTGTCTCTCTTCTATATTGGATCCCCTGTTTCCTTATCTTACTACTTCCTCTTTCTTGGTTTTTTTCTTTTTAGTGGGGTATTTCCTTCAGTAGATTTCTGAGAAAGGAGACATAGAAGGTGCTTTTTCTTTATTATTCCTTGCTTTGTCTTTTAAAATCTTCATTTACCCGTACTACTGAGTTTGGCTCAGTATAGAATTCTAGGCAGGAAATCATGTTATGTCAAGGCTTTGAAGGTCATTCCTCATTGTCTTCTGGCTTCCAGTGTTGGTGTTAAGAATCCTGGCACCATTCTGACCCCTAATTCTTCATAGCCACATGCGTATACTCTTCTGGAATCTTATAGAAGCTTCTCTTTATGTGTTTTGAAATTTT